TTTGGTTTCCGAAATTTTGACAAGGGTTGTTATTTGTTTTTAAGTGTAAATTGGGCGTAAGTCTTTTTTATTCAAATGCTAAAAATGATGTTACTGAACTAGTGTTATCATAATATCACAAGTTTACTCAACTGTTCAAGTTACTTTTGGACAATATTATGTATAATGTAATGTTCATTCCATAAAATTGTAACATAATAACTCAAAATTGTGTTTGGTTGATATTATTAAAAATGATGTTATTGAGATTCAGTTAAGGAATTTATATTACTATGTTTCCATCAACTCCTTGGGTAGCACTGCTCATGTTACTTTTGCACATAATTTTTGTTAAGGACGAACAATAATATGAAAAATAAAACTAGAACCTAATTTCAAAAAAATGAAGTCCGGCAAAGTACATCGCATTACGAATTCCGGTAAGTAATATTGAATTTCTGGCAAGTGACATTCAAATTATGGCAATGGCAAAAACAAAATTGTTATTCATAGAATATAAATCAGTCAATTACAATGAATGCCTCGCTAGATTTGAATGTTCCAACACACTAAATCAAGAACAGCCCCAAAATCCAAAAATCAGTAAGTCAAATTCGAATTACAAATAATTTTAAACTCCAATTACTACTTCTATTACCTTCAAAACTCCTACCAAACACAGAAGTTTGTTTTTCAAAAGTATAACAAACCAAAAATTGATTAAGAATTTGAATTGTTAAGAGAATCTTCTAATCTGAATTTGAATTAACAGACCAACAATATCGTCGTAAATCAAGCATTGAAATATTTAATCAACGGTTTTCATATATAACTCAATCAAAAAGTTTCATATATACATCAATGATATAATTTATGTGACTTTCCATAACTAAACAAAACTAACATCGTTAGGGGTATTTTTTAGATTAAAAAAAAAGTGGACTTAAGTACTTACATATAAGTTCAAAAACGGACTTACACCCAAATAAACTTCATTACCGGACTCAAGTCATTATAAGTCCATCTAGAAGGACTTAGCCCCAATTTTTACATTAGTAATTCAAGTGGAACCCACCACTAAAGCTGAATTTCTCATTCATAAGATAATAAAGAAAATAAAAAAAAATTAGGGTTAATTACACTATAAGTCCCTAAAGTATAAAATTTGTCTTATTTTGGTTTCTAATATTTCAATTGCATCATTTTTTATCCATGAATTATTAAATATATTTTTATGTGATCTCTCAAGCAAACAACATCCAAATTACTAACAATTTTAATCATAAACTTTGTCACATGCTACCTAAATATGGACAAAAAATAATTTGAATAGTTTTTGACCAAAATTTGAGGTAGCTCTTAACCAAAAATATGTAATATGGATAGCTTTTAACTAAAATTTGGATAGCTCATGATCAAAATTGTGTAATTTAGATAGAAATTTGATCAAGAATTATCTAAATTATTTTTTTTGCCTTTATTTATGTATTATGTGTCAAGTTTTATAATAAAAAATCGTTAGTAATCTAAACGTTGTCTGCTTAAGAGATTACATAAAAATATCTATATAATAAAACAGTTAGGTGTTTGAAATTTTATCTCATACATATTTTCCCCTCAAAACCATCTCATCACCGATTTCTATAACATATTTAATCATTTAATATTAGATTAATTTTTAGTTTAATATAATTATTATTTCAAACATTATCCATACACGATAATATACGCATGTTGAGAAAATTTGTTGGATTATGTATTTTTGTCGATATTTTAAAAAAAATAATGGGTAAAAATAAAATTTAAATGATGTAATAAAATAAATGAAGGAAAAAAATTATTATTTAATATAGTGGGATTGATTTTTTAGATGTGCGAATTTTATGTTTTTATTGTGCCATCAAACACGAATTATGACTAGTATTCAATATTTCAGGAATTAAAATGATGTAACTGAAATATTGAAAATTAAAATGAAACAAATCTCATACTTTAGGAACCTCTAATACAATTAATTCAAAAAAATTATTAGAGAACAGGTTTTTCCAGCTTTAAAATTTTTACCGTGCATCAAATTGTAAGACCATCATAGCACCTTGGAATTCAACACAATTTTGAATTGTTGAAATTCATTTAAAATATAAAACAAAATAAAATTTGGTTGATTTTTTATTCTTAATTTGTAAATAAATTGAGTTCAATTTCAATTCGGAATGCTGAAAAAGTGTGTTGAGCAAATCTAGAATTAAAAACTAAACTCAACCGATAAATTTGGCTAGTCCCTATCGAGCCAAACTTAACAAACTTGAGTTAATCAACACTCTTATCCAACATCAATAATCTCCTAGATCTTAAAACAAGGAACCTACATTAATAATCTCTTTTTCACATTTACCATCTGCACGAGTTTTGAATTTCATGCTTTAATTAGTAAACAACCTGGCAAGAAAATAAGAAGTGATTTGGGATTTATAGAAAATTATTTGGGATTAGTAAGTAATGATGCATAAATTAGCTTTATGCACTATGTGTCAAGTTATCAATAGTTAATTCAGTAATTAAGAAGAGAGAAAATAACTAAAGCAAGACAAAGATGTAAAATGGTTCGGTCAACGTGACTTACTTCACTATGAAGGGTTAGAATGACCTTGTATTTTATTACTTTGGAGAGTGTAAGAAGATCAGAAAGAGCAATAGAGATACAAGCTACGAGAGAGAGGAGAGTGATGGCAGATGTGTTTGATGCCCCCCAAGTATTGGCAGGGCTTACAATTTATAGTGCCTCTTAATAGACTGAGACGCATTTTTAGTAACTAAGTGATTAATCTGGTGGAACTGATGCTATCTTCTCAATGGATGAGGGAGTTACAGAGCTCCCCTTAAGATCAAGTCAAAGATGACATGGTGGTTAACTTTTTTTTAAGGCAGCGTGGATGAAGCTCTTGAAATGACTCTGTCTACTCCCTTAGTGATATAGCTCCTCGAACCCTGATGAACTTGACTGGGCATAGACCTCTTTTGGGTTGAACCCATTAGATCTTGTTTAGTTAGATTCTTTATTCAGACTGAACTTATAATATGAGTTGAGTCATTAGATCTAACCCATCAATAAGAGTCATTGTATACGGATCCATTAGAAGAAAGCGAAGTAGAGAGAATTCAAATTTCCTGAATACCACTGCAAAATATTGTAGTCTTCATTTGACAATCCAAATTAATTTTTCCAAGGGTGACAATCTGAAGTAACTAACTCATTGTTCACAAAACCACATTTACCTTCACACCAAGCATGAAAGAAGCTAGCCGTATACGCATTTTTGAACTTGCAACTACAATTTTGAACTTGCAACTACAATTTTGAACATGGTTTGCGATCTAAATCTAAGACTCGGTATCTCTGAACCAAAGCACTAATCCTCCCCCAATGCATTGGGGTGTCATCTCGATTGAACATTATAGCAAGCCCCTATCTATTCCATGTCAAAAATGCATCTAAGTTCTATATGGGTGTGATTAGATAATGGGGGGTTATTTTCACCCCACAAATCTTCATTCTCACCCCATTTAATTTATCATTATCAAAATACTAATTTCATCATTTCTATACTCACTCCATTAATAATTAAATTCACCATATGCTACATACACCCCATTAATAGTTAAACTCACTCATTTTATGTACACCTCTTTAATGAAATAAATTATTGTAAGAAAAAAATAATGAAAGAAAACAATTAGTTTAAATACATAAATATATTTATGAAACAAGGAAAAAAAAAATAACAAAAAACGAAACAAGTAAAAAACCAAGTATGCTGAAACAAGAAAAAAGAAAGGGAAAGAAAGAAGCAGACTGAAACAAGAAAAAAAAAACAAAACAAAGAAAAGAATAAAAAAATCAAGCAAAAATTAAAAGAACAAGCAAAACTACAAGAAACAAAACTAAATATAAAACAAAAAAAAGCATCAAGTATAGACACAAAATCGAACAAGAAAAAAAAATAACAAGCAAAGATGCAAAATCTTAACAAGATAAAAAATAACAGATAATCTGAAAGCATAGATATATATACACACACATAAATTTTAAATAAAAAAATTATTAAACTTGATAGAGATATCAAAACATATCAAAAATAATGAAAATCCATATAACAAATATGAAATCAAACATAGAATTAAATTGAGAAATACTATTAACATGTATTTCACTAATAAATTCATATTAAAAAAGTATTTTTGTGAGTACACGAGATAAGAAAGATAATGAAACTCTAATTATGACAAAATATAAAGTAAGTTTACTAATTAAAAGAGGTGTATGTAGTATGGAATAAACTTAATTACTAATTGAGTGAGTATAGAATGAGTAAGCTCAATAATTTAATAATAAAAAATTAAATAAAATAAAAATAGAGATTTGTAGAGGTAAGAATAACCTCACTCTTAGATAATAGGTTAAAGCAGATTAGCACCATTTGGATTGGCTAAATATTGGGTGGTCCCATATATCCCATGTTTGGGAATCAAAAAATGAGGGAGGAAATCCAATCCTGATCAGTGACATTTGCTCCATATCCACGGGTTAAATGAACCCACCTGCACCGTGGGTTGCAAAAACTAGCCGACTAGTTACAAGGGCAATTTTACAAACTTACCCCTTCGTTTTAGAAAACCCTACACACGCCTTCTTCTCCTTCTTTCTTCACTGTCACTGCGGTAAGAAAATTGAGTAATTCAAGTGGCTACTTCATTTTGTCTTTTATGCATGATACAATATTGGTTATGGTATATTTGGAAATTGGATGGAGGTTTGGTATAGGAGTTGTATGTTCATTCCAAAAATTGTGGTCTTATGGTTTATTAATGCAATAACTCAACAACGATAGTTGAAAAAATGTAACCCATGATCGGGTTACACATATCCCAAACATGGCGGAGGGGTGGATAGGTTTGAGGGTATAACGGTAAAAATATATATAAATAATGCTTTTTAGCACACAAACATATGCCAATCAATGGGTACCACGAATGAGTTATGCTGGCAACCAAAGAAAGTAAACCCATTATCCAAACACACTCTGTATGTTCACCAAGCAATCCATTAAACACAAAGATTCAGCTTTTAAGTGCCAATTTCAATGGCAACCTGGCTCGCCTCAGGCAGCAACTCGAGCTTAGCTTGTTTTTTCCAGCTGCAAAACATAAGCTTAGTTCAGTTTCTTTCGCTCATAAAACACCTTATGTAGATCAATCACCATTACTATTCATTACCTGACATAATAATAGTAGAAGAAATCTGCATAGAGACCCATCTGGACAAGACCAGAGATGTAACCTGAGGAAAAGGAGGATATAAAGACAGGAAACAATCAACGATCGGAGAAAATTAATAAATCATCTCACTAATTCTTGCTGTAACTTACGAAAAGACACATATCCCTGCCCTGTTAAATAGCGGTAATTCCAGTTGAGAATATAGAGTGCACGATAGGCCCTGCAAATACACAACATAACAAGAAGTTCACACTCTCCAATAGCTTGAAGTCAACATCAAATGTTTTCGGTTTCTTTTGTAACATGAAAGATACAATCCTAGAAATATGATCCAGTTTTGAAAATCACCTTTCAGCATCTGTTAAACAACCTTTTTTTCCTCATTGTAAGTTGAATATAAAGAACATGTAGATAGATCTAAATATGCAACCACTAACTAGACATAAGTAATAAGTATACGTTGCAGTTGGTTGTATGCAAATTGCAAAACAAATACTGATGATTCTTATGCCTAGATCCAATTTTAAACAGGCATAAAACTTCAGAAGCTCAAACTGAACGCATACATCCTCATCATCAATTGCTCCTTTAATTCATCAATTTCACAAACTTCCCATCAACCCTGACCATGTCCTACACCTTATAAAGCCCTATAAATGTTCCATACTACTCCTGAGATGCTCTAGTGATGTCACAGACTTGCACAAGCTTCACTACACGGCCTGGGTACAGACAAAGGCTGCATAGATATTGACTTGGGCATGGAAGCACACACTAGGGTATTTATATCCTATTTCTAGGAATATGTATGGATAAACAGCTATCTAATCATAATCAAGAATACATGCCAATGCAGTCCAGGAAATTGATATACATTCAAGCACTAAAAGTATCAGTGGAGTTTTAAACATAAATTCAAGCACTCGTGATATAATCAGACAAAGAAGATAGAGAGATTCAGAATGAACCTTATCCACCCCTATTCCCAACTTTAGCAACTTTATAATATAAAGATCATTTTAGATAGACTCTATGAATTAATGGAAAATTATTCGTTGAAAGGCTTTTGTTGACATGGATAATTATTTGATGCAGAACAATGTGAATACTAAGTATTTACTTAGAGATAACTAATTCAACAAAAGTAATGGTATTTTTAAATGCACCAAAAATGGTCATTTCCATTCTAAAGTCCGAGATAATATTTATTCGTTTAAATGCTGTAATTAGTATGCACAAATAAATGTCAATATACCCAAGAAAGAAAACATAAGTCAAATTGTCCACATTGCCACTTCTTTGCAACAGAACCAATTGGGGAAGAATTGCAACTGCCTCCAAGTATAGTGAAAATGTCCAGAAGATCTGCAACAAATATTTCAAAATTAGCACTACATCCTGTGCCAATGTAAATATTAAACATTGTATGCAAAACTAGCTTGTGCTACAAAAACCAACAATGACTAGTCATTGACAAAAAAGTCTCGTATTCCTAGTACCATTATGAGATATAAACAATCATAAAGGACAGTTTCTCATCAACATGCCACATACACTAAGCAAATGAGCTCAACTTTTTCACAAAAAGTACGTTGCAAAATTACTGTTATCAGTAACAATTTTGTAGGTTGAGCCAAGGACCTTAGGGGCAATTTGCTGTTTTCAGAAACCTTTTATGGTAGCCCAAATAGCACTATACTCGCAAATGCAATATTTAAGATACATTCTTATAAACTGATATCAAGTAAATTCAACACGACCAATTCCCAAGAAGTACGAATCACGACTACAGTTAACTAAACTAATTTAATAAGTAAATTAACTCATATAAAAATTACACAAACAAGCAAAAGGTAATCAGTAATTTCGGGACAACTGACCTCCTGAAATGTGAACTTATAATGAATAATAAGTGCCAACAAAAAACACGCTGCAATAAGAACGTAATGCCGAAAAGTATCAAGCTTGCGATCATACGACTGCTTTACAGCTCGGTGATAGCGCATGCCCAACACTATCGCCAGAGAGCTCCCAATAAACACCAGCTTCATCACGGTGTTGTACACAGAAATAAAGACTGTAAGCAGATCCAAGTAACGAGCCAGAAACACAATGGCATACAGCTCCTGAGTCTTTAGTGAAATCCCTAAGCATAGTTCCAAAAAACTTCAATTTCACACACTCAGTTAAATCATATTAGCCCCCCAAAGAAGCTCAATTCAAAGGCCTAATACACGCATACAAGCAAATATGTTCAAATGTTAGTGCCATACATTTTGAATTTATTTACTAGCTCAGCTACCAAAATCAAACACAAGCAAAGCTCAAATGGACAATCTCATTCAATTTTATCAGCTATATTAACTAGCAAACAGATACTCTTTATGAAACACAGATACTTTGTTTAGTTCAACGTATCCATATTGATTATGATACTTGTCGAATATATATCGGATACCCATTACTTGTATCCAATAATCAATAAAATATTTCTATACGTTTTGATACCTTATTGGATACTTATTACACTATCTGATAATTAATAAAATGGGTGTTTTTGCACTTTGTAGGGGTAAGATTTTTAAGATTCTCACTTTGCACCCCCAAGGATTAAATTTTCCACGTTGCACCCTTAATGTATTAAAACTGTTGCAATGTGGCCTTCTGTTAGCTTCCGTTATTTTTTCCATTAAAAGTCAACCCATTGACACTAGCAGAAAGCTAATAGAAAAGTCACATTACAACACATTTAATACATTAAGGGTGCAATGTGAAAAATTAATTTTTGAAGATGCAAAATGTGAATTTTAAAATTTTTCAGAGTGTAAAGTGCAATTTGACCCAACAAAATATTTACTTATTTATAGATATGTCACATATATGGATATCCAAGATGAATATCTTTTGGAGATGGAAGTGGATACACAGAGTAATATGTGTGAACTTTAAATTTTACTCTTTACCGTTTCCTCCAAATTCAAATACAATCGTACAAAAGAAAAGTTTTCATTGGTGTTTCTTAACTATATCTACCACCAATTATCAAAAAGAAATAAAATAAGTTAATTACACATATCTCATAGCAACAAGTACATATAAGCAAACTAGCTATTTAAATGTTGTATCTATTCTTTTAATTAGTCACGTTCATTTTATGGATATACAATGGTCAAACAATCTATGCATACTTGAAATAATATTTTCTATTAAATAACTAATTAGAAGTTTAAAACTAAAAATTAGATCATAGTAAAAATCTATTTTATTGCAAGCTTATCATACCCGTATCTGTATTTGTATCCATTTTTTTTAGATTTGCGTTTCCTATGATATATCCATGCTCACTGCGAAATATTCTTAGTTTTAGCGACTCAATTAACTCCACTGGACCTTAAAACTAAAACCCTAAGTTGAATAATTATGTATCCGTTTACAATATGGATAGCTATCATCCATTTTCAGTTTTACCTACTTTATTAACAAAAAGGGAGAATTATACTCAGACCCCTTGATATTTGTCACTTAATCAGTCAGACCTTTTAATATTTGAAATATTACACATCCATCCGCTAAAGTTTGTACGCGCGTAACACGTAGACCCCTGCCATTAGTATATCCGTCAGTAAATTACATCTAGATTCCCTGAAGTTTATAGATATATAATACTTAGACCCTTCAAGTTTAAAATGTTATACTTAGATATTAAATACTCTAATCAAAAATACAATATCAAATATTTTAAATTTTACAACTAAAATTCATATTCTATTATGATATTTATTGAAATAAAACTAAAAATAAAAATCTAACTTTTTTAAAAAAAATAATAATTAGTATACAATTATACTATCAATTGAAATTTAATTTGATCGTTTAAACGAATAAATTAAACTACCAAATTACCTCAATTTAAGTTAGAAGATAGTGTCTATTACAGTTTGACCCTTTATTTAATTTTTTAGTTTTATTCTAATAGATAGTATAATTGTATACTAATTATGATTTTTTAAAAAAAAATTAAATTTTTATTTTTTATTTTATTTCAATAAATGGCAAAATAAAACATAAAACACACACACACACAGATAATTGCAGAGTGTCAGATATTTTTTATGCTAATTAACTTGAATAAACCGTACAATGCTCAATTCTAAAATCTAATGCATACATATACGCAAGTACATATGTTTACGAGATTAGAATTGACCTGAGCAAGATTTGGTGGCGTAGATTTGGAGAAAAAGTACCAAAAGACTGATCAAATGACTCATATCGCCAGCGAATCTGAATATGTTCATGATTACGGAAAATGATTTGTGCCCTAGATTGTATAGAGACAACTAACTATCAGGGGGCAGAGTGTGAATTTAGAGAGAGACACAGAAGAAACTTTTTTTCTTTATGAACTTAAGAGACAGAAGAAACTGGCAGACGACGACGACTATGTTAGTAAGACGGCAACTTCAATACAATTTGGTTCCTAGCAAAATGGCCACGTCAACGGAAGTCTTTTTCAAGACTTGACTGATGAAATTTAACGGAAGTCACTTGACTGATGAAACTTAACGGAAGTCTTTTTAAAGACAACTCTATTTGGGTTCACTGCTGTAGAAAATTTTGCATGCTCGGTAGGCGGTAGGGGTGCAACTTGGGTCGGTTAATTTGAGCCCAACACGAAAAAAATTAAGATTTAGATAAGGATTTTTAATATTTAGGTTGGAGTTAGGTCAAAAAATTCTAATTCAAATTCAATTTGGATTGAGCTTGGGTTAAAACATCAGATTTCGGGTTTAACCAGAACTCGACAAATTAAAAAATAATTATATATATATATATATATATATATATATATATATATATATAAAGCATTAGCATTGATTTTTCATTTTTATTCTATCGTTCTCTGTCTCTCTCGTTCATTTTCATTTTTATTCTAGCATTAGCACTGTTAAAAATTTGGTTGAAGTCATTGGTTGTTAATTTATGTGAATATTATGTAATATATGTATTAGGTTTAAAACAATAAGTCTATTTTGGGCTCTACCCGAATTGAACCCATAAAGTAATTTAAATTAGCCCAAAATCATTAACTCAAATTTAACCCGAGCCCGGCCGAATTAAATTTGGACAGTGCTCGGGTTGAGTTTATCAACTCAAGGTAAGGTTAGGGTTAGAGTTGAAAATTATATACCTAGGATTATATTAGGGTTGACTGTCCAACCCGTTCGAGTTACACTCTTATTAGGTGGTACCAGCTAACATGTACAATTGCGAACTCTGACTAGGCATGTTAATCGTGTTGAATAGAACGGTTTCGTGTCGGGTGGAATAAGCTTGTGTCAAAAAAACTCTTCATTCCATACCCCATTCGTTTATATAAACGAGTTAAACTATCACACTCATATACAAATCATTTATTAGACGGCTTACTCAATACAATCCGTGTGTTACCCGCTAAATAAGAGAATAAGTTAAAATATTTCGAGTACACACGAAAAATCATCAACTTGTTACACATCACACATATTTGACTTGTTTACTATAACAATAAATCATGGCTGATCAAAAAAATAAAGACAAAAAATAAATATTAAATGACTACTAAAATTAAATGAGTATAATAGATGGGAGGTGAGACAGAGACTGGGAGACTTAACTTTTTTTAAAAAAAATTATAATATCATTGTTAACGGGTTAAACGGTTGAAACGAGTTTATAGGTTGAACACAAAATTGATTCATTTATTTCACGGGACTGTCGAGTTAACCCGTTAACTATTCAAACTCATTAAGACTACACCAAAATTCATTAAATCGTGTCAATTTCATGAATCGTGTCTAGAATTGTCAGGCCTAACTTCGATTATGGTATAGTCAAAAAAAAAAAAAAAATTGGGTATCATACGTTCAAAATTTACTATTTTAAAAGATATTTTTATAATTTTTGTAAGTCATTTTATAACTAAAATTTTTATTACTTTTTTGGGTTTTTTTACCACTGTTAGTGGATGTTTTTGTTACATTTGGAATAATTATTTTTTATCATTTTTCTTCAAGTACAAAAAAATTTATCACTTTTGTGAGTGATTTTATCACATTTATAAGTGTTTTTATCATATTTATGGGTATTTTTATCATTTTTTGGATATCACAATAATAACAAAACTACCCACAAATGTTATAAAAGTTACTTTCTGTGTGGTATCAAAATTTAAAATTTCGGTAGCATAATCAAGTCCTACAATTGTAGGTAATGTTAAAAAATGTCACATCATTTAAATTAGATTAAAGATTAATAGTATTTTTAGTTTTTAAAATATGTATTTTTTATCAATTTAGTTCTCATTATATCAATTTAATTCTTAAAATATTCAATTCATATTATTTTGATCCCTACATAGAAGAACTGTTAAATTTTTGACGAAATGATCATATGTTGAGCACGTGATATTATCTAAAAATTAATATATTTGGTTATAATTTGTCAAATATTGTCTGATTAGAGACCAAAATAATAAAAATTAAATAAAATTAACAAAAATATACATATTTTAAACATCAAAATTACTATTAACCTAAGAGGAACTTGGCTGATGGAATATAACGGAAGTCTTTTAAGACGGCAACTTTGTGTTGGGTTCACGGTGGTAGAAAATGGGTACCAGCCGGCTTGCATATTTAACACCGACCACCGATTAAAACTGGAGCAATACTATTGAGACATAATGAGTTATCATCAATGATATGATAATGAATTCATTAATACGACAATAAGACCTATCATTAAATATATTTTACTATCATTTCATTGATGATAATTTATTATGTCCTACTATTAAAAGTGGTGCAATTGTTGACAATGTCAAAATATATCACATCAACCAAATTAGATTAACCTAGCTGAGGACTTTTAATAGAAGTCTTTTTTTATTACCCTTTTTGCTGTTCTCGCTTTGTAAGTTTTTCTCTCTACAAGGTCATGTCATATTAATCTTCTGTTTCTCAATTTTTCGTTTCTCATCAACAAAGATCAAAATTCAAAATTTAAATTCCTGCCTTAAATGTTTAAATTTATATTATAAATAAGTAGACTATATTATAATTTGACTCAAACTCTCTAATTGCTATGAATGATAGTTTGTTGGACAATTAATGTGAGAATTCTATATACAATAGAATTATAATGAAAGAGTTTTAATATATACCATGAATAGATATATTAGACATGTGATAGGAGATATAAAATTAAGTTGTATCTGAATATGTTTCAATCACAGTATTTTATCTCTATAAATAGGGGTATGTATTATATAATTAGTTACTAGATGATCACTTTTTCAATAAATAATACATCGATGTATGTTTTTAATCCGTGGATCTATGTACAGTGTACTAAGATGGATACGTTGTATCGAACCACGTTATATCTTTAGGTCATATTTTTATTATTTTCCTATCTTTGAATTCCTATCTTTCAATAAATATTATTTGTGTTAATTACCCACTGTGCAAAACCAACAAGTGGTATCAAAGCTATGTACCAATAAGTTGTATTGGAGTTATGTTCCAACAAGTGATATCAGAGATAGATTGAGGATACTAGTAGAACAATCAAAACTAAATTGATAATAATGGTAAAATTATCAAAGCTAGATTGATGATACTGATAGATCAATTAAAGTTAGACTGATGATCCTGGTAGAACAATTAGAGTTAGATTGACAATCTTGGTGCAACAATCAGAGCAAGTTATTAGTGATTCAATGATCAAGTTGGCGTTGAAGAAAACTCTCTTACCATGTATGTACAATTCATATTTTTGTTTAGATTTACAAGGAAAAAATTAAGTTGGCATGAAACCAAACAAAAGACTAAGTTGCTTTTGGATTATTTGGATTTCAAGAATTACCACACGTACTATGTTGAAGATGTTTCTTTAGATTTTTGAGCTCTTAGAGTTGAAATCGCAGTATTCCAACGGATTGGGAGCTATTAGGCCAACACAAACCTAATAGTGATGATATAGTATCTCGTGGGTTACAAGTTACTAAGGCTTTTACCTTTGAACAGTGAAGCATTTACCATTGAGACCTCCTAAGAACAGGTAAGACGCGGGCAGAGATACACAGATGATGCAAGTCAAGACGTAAGTTCTTGAAAGAAAGAGGGGATTATGGTGACTCAGAAGAACAGGTTTGCACGTGGTGCTTAAAAATTGGTGGATCAGAATCAAAGGTGTTAAGCCTCATGTTGGGCATGACCAATGTTAAAGAGTTTGGTTCAAAAGAGGCTGTTGAAATTTAACCCAAAGTCTGTAATTGTTATGAATGAGAGTTTGTTGGACAATCAATGTGAGAATTCTATATGGAATAGGATAATATTGGAAGAATTTTAATATACCAGGAATTGGTATATTAAACATGTGATAAGAAACATACAGATTAAGTTGTATCTGAATATGTTTCGGTTATAGTATTTTATCCCTATAATAGGGGTGTGTATTATATAATTAGTTACCAGATAATCAATTTTTTAATGAATAATATATCGATGTAGATTTTGATCCATGGATGTAGGTCACGTTATATCTTTGGGTCATATTTTTATTATTTTCCTATCTTTGAATTCCTATCTTCTAACAAATATTATTTGTGTTAATTACCTGTTGTGCAAAACCAACATGTGGTATCAGAGCTATGTTTCAATAAATGGTATCAGAGTTATGTTCCAACAAGTGGTATCAAAGCTATTTTTCAACAAGTGGTATCAGAACTATGTTCCAACAGACTAGAATAATCAAATTTTTTTAGATGTTTTTTATTTTATTTTTTGTGCGGGATGATTCTAGCATAATGAATAATATGACAGATATCTCCCCTAGTAAGCTCGAGTTTGTTTGGAAAGTTGAATATCCCACAACGAGTGAAACGCAATGAACGGCGATGGAACTTCCTACAGACGATCTATTCACTCATGAGTTATCGAATAGGGTCCTGTCACTCAAAAAGAAGGATTAAAAGGGCGCCAGAGTATTTTCCAGCGTGACCCCTCCAATGATAAAGTCAATATTTGAAAGAGGGTTTGAAAAACACTATTTTGTTGCTTGGTTTAGGGGTTGCATACCTTAGACTTGAGCTTGAGAGTGTTACTTATACATCTCTAGAGCTAATCATTGCCGGCAGTTGGGTCCCTTGGAGGGAAGACCCTTGATTGATGCCTTTCTTTTCACATGGCAAAGGCTTCTACATTTAATGCTCGGATTCCCAAGCATTTAATGTTTGCTTTTCTGACTTTGTTGAGCAATAA